AGGCCCTCGCCGCCGCCGGAATTTATTTATGTGCCGGCCGGCCGCCGCCGTCGCCTGCAGTGCCGCCGAAATTTGCGCGCGTCTCGTACAGCGCGCCGTACACAGACACCGGCCGCCCGCGTGCGCGCGCGCGCGTCGTCGCCGTAACCTTGTAACAGCGTCTGGGACGGACTATTATAGCGTAGTGTACAGTACGCTACGCGCGGCGGGCGGGCGGACGGACGGACGGACGGGAGGGAGGGAGGGCGTCCGTCTGGACTGCCGAAATATGCAGTTCCACTCTTCACCTCCGCGGTTCCGTTCGCCGCGCGCCGGTCACTCCGGCCCGGAGGTTAAGTCCGGTCGTTGGGCGACAGCGGAATAAATATTGTTGTGCCGTCGCCGTCGCCGCCGCCGCCGCCGCCGCCACAGCCGCCACAGCCGAACCTAGTCGCGCTCGCGAGACGGCGGTACGCGCGTCGTTACTATTGCCGTGCGTTCGACGGCCGGGTAACGTGGGCAGGCGGGTAGGCGGACGGGCGCGCGTTGTGTTGCAGCGCCCGTCGCTGCGCGCTGGCCGCGGCGCCGGCTCGGGGGCATTGTCGCCGTCGCCGTAACTGTTCCCAACGGCGAAATTTCATTTTGTGCGATTGTCGCGCGGCACCGACCGCCGGCCCGACGTGGGTCCGCGCGTTCGGTCCGGCTCGCGGAAATACGCGTTTCAATTTTTTTTTTTCTTCGCTCAGTTCTTCTGACCTAGCCGTAAGGTCGACGGGGTGCTGGGCCCGGACCCTGTCGCTCCCGCCTCCCATCCAAATCCGCCGCTGGAGAACGCGGACTCGAAAAAAATTAATAACAAACACCGTAACACCGGGCCCGCCCGTTTAAATCCCAAACACACTGGCGATGGGGGGGAGGGGGACCGCGTCCGAAGCGTTTTGAGGGGTTCGGACTGTCAGAATTTCTTTTACGAAAATGTCGATTATTTTCGCAAGACGAATGCTAATAATATTATGTTTGTAACGGCAATCGCGGACGGTAAAACAATCGAAAAGCCCACCACGAAAATTTCGTCCGGCTTCGGCCTTGATTGTGCGTCATAATTCAAACAAGAGAAAAAAAACAAAAAAAATTCTAAATCAAATACAACTTTTAATACAAATACGTGCACGTTATAACGATTAATAATTTAAATGCTTGATTTTCTAATACGTTTGTGTATAATTTTGTTTACCAAACAAAAATACATTAAATCGGATACATTTTTTTAATATTCACGTTGATTATAAGACAATTAATACACATTAAACAACAGTCGATAACTGTGTACGGCAACAACAAATTAATGAATCCGAATGTTTGAGCAACTATCGCACCAAATACTTTTCCGTCACACAAAGCCTGCTACAGCCGTTTCCATATTATCTATACAATTATTGAACGACATATTTATGCATGCATTACAATTGCGTAGATTATGCGCTATAACCTATTGATTTGAACTATACGCCAAGGGCAATACATACGACCTCTTAATCTCTCCGCACAGAACGTTTTTGTTGAGAGGGTTTTTGATAATTCCCGTCCGAATTCTTCGAAAAATGGATTTTGAAGGCATGTCCAACTTTGTAGCTAAATGCCTTAATTGCAGGATTGTAGTAGACATTTTCCCGATTTTACATTTTTTCAAATCTAATATTCCCGACTACAGTGTTCCCGATTATAATTTTTACCAAACGAAACTCGGTAGGGATTTATAATAATCGTTTCGAAGTGATTGTGGGGCAACACCGTACCACCATTTACGCGTTTTTAACAGAACTTGGAAAGGAACGAGCCGAAAATAAACCGTGCCGTAAGTTACGGTAAACGAATGCGGGACAAAAATAAGGAACAGTGTGGTAAATACGGTACGAGTGAATTATTAGAAGAAAGTATATTAAAATATATTATTGTTTCCGGGTTATGACGAATTTGTCGATAACATTACGATTCAATTAAACGCCTTATTGGACATTGATCATACAGTTTAAACTGTTAATACATGTTTAACTATTTCACACGTATAATTTTGTAGACATAAAAATATTTTCCGTTTTAATCGCGAACAATTATTTGTATTTGTTAATTATGAAACATTTTTGAACTGTCGAAACTTTTCGAACTTTTGTGAATACAAGTATCGGGCGAAATAGCGCTCTTCGATGAAAGATATTGGAAAAAAGAATTATTAGAAAAAAAAAAAACATTGAAACAAAGAACTTTTGGAAAAAGTGTCTGCCAAAGGGATTCGTTTGAAAAACAAAAAAAAAAAAAAAAAAAAAAACGGGATTATTTGCCGGGATAAGCCACAAATAGTTTTATCGAAGTCATTTTTAGAGGGGAAACAGTCCGGGTGCGGATGATGAATTTATTAAAACAATAGTTTTTAACCTATAGAGTGCGCGAAAGCGACCGCGAGTGACCGGCTTTCCGGGCGCGGAAAAACCGCAGTTTTCGACTATAACGTCTCCTCTACGCCGAAAATTTTTGCCACGGATTAATTTCCGTGACGTCACTGTTATCTATACACTCTTCTGTGATACCGCGGTTCTATCTACGACCGTGTGTGATACTATTCCACGTATTATCAGCGCTACAATAATATTGATATTGAAATTAAAATATCTACTTAACGATTTCCATTTTTAAACGCGAAGTATATGTGATCGCAAATAATATAATTCAGCATCCGGTTTTAAATGTTTTCAATTAAAATTTTAGTACCTGTTTAACACACAAATTACAATGTGGAAAAAAATAATAAAACAAGTATTCTTTTTTTTTTTTTTCATATATATATTTCGTTAATGTTGTGATATTCCAAAATGTTCAATTAGCCCGCCAGTAGTACAAAACGGCTCGGTACAATTTGTAAACGAACACTACGACATTGTCCATTTAAACGAATTAATTTTTACACGTTTAATTCAATTGGCCTACGAATTATCGCAGTCACTACAAAAATATGAATATTATTTTCTCTTTTTGTTTATGTAAATATTTATGTTCGATTTCGATGTGCAGTTTATTAAAACCGGATGCAGAATTATACTCGCGATCGCATAATTATCCGCATTCAAACATTTTGATTGTTGGATAGATATCTTGTGGTTTTAATATCGATAGTGTTGACGTCTAGCCAATGCATTTTCTAACCAGCACTCCGCCCGAGTAAAACTGTACCGCGCAAGTAACTTTGACTGTCCGCGATATTAGAATATGTTTCGTTATTTCCGCATTCGGTCGGGCCCTGCCCGTTATCGACAAATGAAAAACGGTGTTATTGTATTATAGTGCTGATATCGCACGGTATCGGTGACGCGGCCGAGCGAGGGAGATGGGGCGGGGGTGTTTTGGATGTCCGGGACGGCCCTCACATCCGCGTTTAAGTCGTATAAATTTGTTAAAAACGTGTGTGTGTGTGTGTGTGTGTGTTATTTTTTTTTCAAACGTAAACACTCGACACCCCCCTGAAAAACGGTGCTGCACGGTGCATAGTATCGCACACGCGGTTACGTGAAAATTACATTTTGCCGGCGAGTATCGCGACGTGTCCGAATAATAATTTGCCCCGGGGCGCCGCCGCCGTCGTTTCGCGAGCAATTTTCCGCCGTGTCGACGTAAGCAGATCGTATTTGCGCGGCATTTTAATGGGATATTAATACGGTGTGCCGTACGCGCCAAATAATAATAATAACGATGGCATATCGATCGTGTAGCGTGTTATTAAATCTTCGCGCAATCATAAATAATTATTACCGGCGCCGGAGAGTTTAACGAAACGCGTCCTCCGAGTAAAAGACCTGGAAAAAAAAAAATGAAAAAGAAAAAACAATCAAACGTGTCCGTTCGGTATCAGGCGGCCGCGGTTCGGTTGGGTTCGGCTAGGTTGAGTTAGGCTCGGCCTAATAATAAATCATAACGCATACAGTCCGCGTGACAACAAGTTCTCTTATGCCAGCCACGGATAACGATCGCCGTCGTCGACGGCTTTTCACTTTCGTTTTTTTTTTCTCGCGCTGCTTTTATCCGTCCGCGGAGACAATAACGAAAAATCCAAAAAGTGAAACAAAAAGAAAAAAAAAGTATACATTTACTTTTCAAGTAACAACTGTAGTATAGAAAATATACGAAATAACACACAAAACGGACGAATTTTCAATGAAAATCTTTTATGCAACGCGTTTTTTTCATTACCTGTATAGCTAAGTACACGGGCATTCAGTGACGGTTCTGGAGGGGCCGATCACCCCTTCTCCGTTCACTATCCAATGTACCCTTGGCTTCGTTTGACATTGAGTTCATTGTCTATGTATTTGTTACCTTATATCCCAGATGTTCTGTAGTTTTTCGTTATTATATTATTTGTGTTTTTATGCGAAATATTTCGCGTGCGTCACTATACGTTTACCTATATGCGGTTTAAATACACACGGTATTACCGTCTGAGCACCAAGTGATGGACTACATGTCCTCCCATCTACCCTGAAAAAAATAAATAATGTAACGACGGAGATTTTTATTAGACGGTTTTTCGATATTGTCGCGGTTTTCGTTTACACGCGTGCGCTCCGGCCAAAAATCGTCGAAAATCATTTACCGAAATATTCGAATAATATTCCGAATAAAGTTCTGCTTCATAATCAAAACAGTGCAGTACTTGACAATCGGCAATTGTGACTGTAATACGCAGACCCTGATTCAGGCACGTCCACGCACAAGCCGCCCAATTCTCAGGGTCTCCTTCCGCAGTATACAGAAAACAAAATGTATTTAAAAGATATTTTTGGTAGGTGCATATAAATGGGATTGAGTACATTTGACAAGCAATTATTTTGAAACATAATGTAAACATTAAAAAAAAATAATAATAATAATTAAATTGCATTATAGGTGTATCTATAATATCTTCTGCACTTACAAAAACTCGATCGCGTTCTTCTTTAACGAACACAAATAAAAAAAAAAAAAAAAAACTGAATACTGCATCATTACATTATACTGGTGTTCGATTATGATACTACGAAACAATATTACGTTTGAAGACTTCAAATAATGCTGAATTTAAAAGTTTAAAAAAAAAAATGCGATTCCATGATTAACTTCAAAAATAAAAAATTATATCTCGATTCTCACATACAGATATGCATAACGTATCGGTTTTTCTTCCGAACGTTTGTCTCGTTTTTGATGATTTTTACCGAATTTACATTGTAGCTCCGAATCGAGCATCGATTAAGGCCTCGATTTCGTTAAGATTCAGGCCCCGGTGTTACGCGTACCGGGCATGTATAATTATAGTCGCGATATATTTCACGCGGTCGGAGGTGGAAACCCGTACCTATTATACGCGTTAAAATATTGTATTCAGTCGTTTGGCACTGTCTCGCTCTATACGTTATACAAACATATATGTACAAGACGACGAAATGGAAAATTCACGGACACAATAATCGGGTTTCGATCGCCCACGAATAACGTCTGGGCATATTCGATATCGTAAATACGCCGTGTACCTATAATGTCCGTAATAAAAACGGTCGCGGGACGCGCGTTTGTAAAACGAGAAAAACAAACGCAAGAAACTCTATAATAATAATTATATGTACGGAAAAAAATAAAAAAAAAATAATAATAATAAAAATATATATATATATAAAAACATTGACAGTTTTGTTGCGAACGGAATAAAATAATATAATGCGAAGCGGTACCCGCCCATATGTATGTGCGGAATATGCATACGCGATAAATAATATTATACACACATTTCGGATAGGATCGAACGCGACGATAACTGTGCAGCGGTTCCCTCCCGCCCG